GAGCGGTTTACGGGCTCTCTCTAACCCATGGCATTACCCACCTTTCTACCAGGCCAAACCCTAAACTGAAATTCCTGACCAAGTGCTTGAGACAAACAGGGCAGCCGCTGACCCCAAACCTGAGGCCCATGGGCGGTGCCACCCAGAAAGGAGGTACCTTCCAGGGATGAGCAGCTTTGCCTGGAAGGAGCCCAGGGGAGGCACAATGGAGGCAAGGGCCCTTGCACCACCTCCGAAGTGAGGGTGCCCTTTGGGAGGCCTCCCTTCCCACCCGCCAAGAGCAGAGGCAGACACCGGCCGCCTTTCCTCCACAGACTGGAAAAGTAGACAGAGCTGACGGGCTGCTTGCAGACCACGTGATTCCTGTTTACAAACTTTGGGTAGTAAAAAAAAAAAAAGGGGGTCATCCCGCTGGTGCTCACCAGGGGGCAGCAAAGACTTGAAGGAAAAAACATGGGAGGACCCGGCCAGCCATTAACTGTTAAATACAAAAAATGCAGCCCAACCCAGCGTCCTCCAAGGGCAAACAAACACAAACCACAAGCCCGAGTCACAAGTTTTGAAAGGCTGTCGTTTGTTAGGGTAAGCCGCTCAGGGATGACCCACCCTCCTTCGCTTTGATCTCCCGGCTCTCCATTCCTCCTTTTCTGAAAGAACCCACTCCAAGCCCCTCCCTAAGATAGGTTTTCATCCTCTCCGGGGAGACACCCAACTAATTTTCAAACCAGCAACAGATCTTATTTCACAACATTCATTTCAAACTCCCTTCACCCCACGACTGTGCTGTTCCTTAACCCTCCCTAGATCAAAGGGGAGGAAAAAAAAAAACTGCCGCTCTAGAAACTACCTTACAGACAACTAACTCCTTTATAAAACAAAAATTACAAAACCAGCATCAATTTTCATCCTTTCCCACCCCGCCCCCCGTTACTGGCGGGGAAACTGGGTCAGACTTTAGAAATCTGAGCTTCGGCTGGTTGCCTACAACCTCTTATTCATCGGGAAAGCTTGGAACACACTGAATTCCACTTAAAAACAAAATCATGCCAGAAACATTACAGGTTCAGCTGGCTAGAAATCCCCGGCTTCGCTACGCTGGGAAACTCTCCTTCACCCCACCCCTGACAGCATCGAGCCAGGCGGCCCAATGACCTTTACAAAGGGCGGAAGCCGGAGGCTGGCCGCGGCCTCCAAGGCGGCCGACCGAGTCACCTGGGCTGCTCCCTCCCTCCCTCCCAGGCCTGCTACTCACCATCGAAGTCCGTGTAGACCGTGTCCTTGAGCAGCGCCCCCGACCCGAAGTCGATGAGCTTGAGCTCGCCGCGATTGAGGTCGATGAGGATGTTCTCGTCCTTGATGTCGCGGTGGAGCACCCCGCAGTTGTGACAGTGCCGCACGGCCTCCAGCACCTGCCAGAAGAAGCTGCGGGCCAGCTCCTCCTGCAGAGCCCCCCTTTCCGTGATAAAGTCGAAGAGGTCTTGCACCGGCTCGGGCCTCTCCAAGATCAGGACGAAACTGTCGGGCCTCTCGAACCAGTCCAGGAGCCTAATGACGCCGGAGAAGCCCGAGCTCACCTTCTTCAGTAGGACCACTTCCATGGGCACTCGGGTGCCATTGGGCTACAGGGGAGAAGGGGCTGCGTTAGGGCGGGAGTCGGGGCGCGCCTCACCCCACACACCCATGCCGGGGGTCGCTCCTTCCAGGGTACTTACCAGCTCCCCCCAGTCTGAAATCCGATCTTTCTCCACGTGTTTGATGGCCACCTGAAAGCCCGGAGTCTCGGTTAGGTCCCCTCGCCGGGGCCAAAACACACCCGTGCGCCCCCCGCCCGACGCGCCCTCCCCACGGCGGGGCGCCCACTCACCGGCAAGTTGTCGGCGACACGGATGCCTGAGGAGACGGGGCCGCAGGCCCGTCCCCGCCGCTGCCCAGTAGCGGGCCCACCTGGTACTGCGACTCCAGGGGCTCCTTCTCCTTGCCTAGAAAAGGGAGAGGCACGGGGGACTCAGTGCCGGCCCGCGAGCCCCCAGCTCCCCTCTCCGGGGGTCCCGCCGTCGACCCGCACCCACCGGCCAGGGGGAGGGGAGGGCGCTCACCGGGCGCCAGCTTGGTGGCGTGCAGGTCGTTGCAGGGCGCGGCGCGCAGGTGGGCAAGCGAGTTGATTTTGGACAAGAGCATCCCAATCTCCAGGGTGTCGGCGCAGGGACGGTGCCTGGAGGACCTGCGGCAGGAGCTGGAGCTAGCG